TTTAGCAGTAATAGGGGGTAGGTGAGACCTCTATATTCCATATCTGACGCTCTGAAAAGTTAGGCCGATAAAATACGGGTATATGAACTCCCCTCGCGCCATAACCTTAATCCTGCTGTTAGTCTTCATCTCCGTTTTCGAAAGTTAAAACTGCACGAGGGATTTCAGTCAGGGCAGTTCATTAACCGAGTGTTTATTTTTGGGCCTGGTTTTAGTACCAATCAGCATATTGGCCTCCCCATAGAGTATTAAGTCCTAAGCTATTGTCCGACCCAAGCGTGACTGGAATATCTTGAAGTTATACTTCATGATAATCAGTATGGCAACTTCAGCGAAGTATTCCGTTCTAAGCCCAACAATTCCATCTACTTCTCTAAAACACATTTTCGTAATGTAAGTCAACATTTCACGAGATAGGCTAGCTATTGTGTGATTTATAAGCGCATCGAAAATTAATGGGTAAATCAACACTACTTAAATTGCTATTTTTAACCGATAATGTGGGTTACTTATATAACAATCCTGCTTAAGTAATCTTTTCGAAGCAGAAGCATATTTCGATTAATGTTTCACTAGGTAGAACAGATAAGGAATGAAACTCATTTTTGCTAGTTCAACCATTAATCACTATCGTGCTTGTTCAGTCATTTGTAAGTGTTCATGACTTTTTTTGTTTACTCGTTCAGATGAGCCAGCCCGTGAAGTCCCCGGCGGACACTCTAATCGACAAGAATGAGGTGCGCGAACGGATCCGACGGGAGGAAAAGAAGAGGCAGCAGGAACAGTTCCGTCTACGCGTCAAGCGTCAGATGCGAGCCAACAGAAAGAAGCAGGCCCGAGCTGATGTAGTTACGGAGGACAAACTCTTTGGCTGAGTCGGGTCGCGCACTGTACAAACACTTGTAAATTTCTTTATTATTAAGATGATTTCAATTCTTTGCTCTTTGACCGGCGATCCTGTTTCGCATTTTCATTTTGAGCGCCCATTGCAGTGGGTGACGGTCATGTTTATGTGGGCCTCAGCTATAACCACATGGAAGGTTCAGAGTTGGTATAGCCATAGTTATTGAAGCCTTAGGCATCAGCAAGGGACCGTGTCGTTATAAGCGAAAGTAATTTCCTAAGTTCCCATTGGCTAAGTTAGTCCAACACCTTTACTGGTATTTTCTTCGACGGGGATAACTAGCCGTACACTCGTCCTGACTATCGTACATTCGTTTCTGCCGCAAGCGGCCTTTGAGGCATACGGGTACATTAAATGTGCTTGGTGACGTGCATCACTGAGATTGCAACCGCAGCGACTCTCTAACTGAGGTGACTTTAAGCATGCACAACAAAGCCGGTACGGCGTGTCTATATGGATTTAGAGACCTCTCCAGCATCGAAGACTTACTACTAAAGATCAAAAGGCCACTTTAATGCCTCATTAAGTCGTTCAGGTCTAGGCTTTTTCTGGGGTGGACAACTACGCGTTTCTTCAAACGAGAAAGCGACTTTGGATTCTAAGGGAGAATATTTGCTTCACAGACTGGGCGACCGGGAATTGGTTCGGAATACTTAGGCCGTGCTCGCAGGGCTTTTGTGGCCTGCAAGGCTTGCCCACACGGAGGTAATTCCGGGGATGATTCTTTTCTCCACTCACCAGATTCTGATGGGATTACAAGGTCAAGGCGACTAGGGATGGGTTTGGGTATAATGGTAAACATATCCAGACAGTCTGTGTATGCATGCCACGCACGGACTAACATAGTTCTAATAATTCTCAAGTACGTTCTACTCACTATACCAATGGTTGTGCTCAGTGGTCACGAGGGAGATTCGTGATGAGACTAGGTGTGCTGGCTGAGGTAGTCTGCACCTGCGCACGCTACGTTGGTGATCACCCCTCAGTCAGCTTAATTAAAATGGAAGTAATATGTGCATACGCTCAGGCACGACGTCTAATCCGTCGTAGAGACAGTGGAATATTTTAGGGCCCGATCATATCGTGGATGATGCTAGGTGTTATCTTGCTGATAGTTGACAGGTATAGGCGAGTGTCTGAGTACGTTGGTGTGAGGGATAACAAGGTCCGGATTATTATCGGTCGTCGCCGGAGTGTGGAAGGTTTGTGCTAACTTGAAGGGGCTGGTCGTGATACCGGTTCCCTATTTGCATATCGGTGGATTCGCCAGTGACCGATTGGACAGGTGTGATTCGAATGTGCTATTGCGATGAAGGCGTGTTGGAATCGTAACGGATGCCCAAACCGATGTTCCGTTGCTGTGAGTATGGATATGACTGACCAGCGGCAACCGCACTGAAAAGTGATGTTTAGATGGGAAGGATGCGTTTGCTGATGCTACTAGTTGTCG